GGCGTGGCGGAGGTGCAGGCGCCTACCGACCAGGCGGCTCCTGATCGTCCCGTTCCTGTCCTGGAGGAGTCGCAGGAGTTTCAACCTTCTCTCATCGATCATCTCCCTGGCGTTGTGGTGCCCTCGGTGCTCTGGCCGGGTGTCTGGGAACCGCTGGAGGCGCCCGCCAAGGACGATTTCGCAAAGGTTTCGCATTCGGTCGCCAAACGTGGTGCCAGCATTGGCGGAAACAGCTGCGGCGGTGAGGCATCGCCTGGCGTAGTCTCGCACGTCGATGGAGGCGCTGTCGGAGGCGATCACCAGTTTCCCATGGACGGGGCCCCTCCCCCCGCCATGGACGGCTCTGAGGAGGGGAGCGCTGTGCCATCTTCGTGCCCGATGGGGAGTGTGGTGCAGGAGTCAGCTCTTTCTGTACATGACGCTCAACACGTTGACGACGAGAAGGACGATGTGGTCTTCGCCCGTGCTGATCGGCTCGGGCTCCGCGGCATCCTCGAGGGCTTCATGAGTCGGGATGATGTTCTCGGCGAGGATGTGTCTCTGGCGGAGGCGCTTCATGCCCTGGAGGCGTCTGGAGGACTGGTACACCCTGCGCTCCGTGCTCTCGGGTTCTCACATGTGGGTTGCGTTCGACCTGGTGTACCTCGGCTTCATTGATCTCATCACGTTCGTGATGTTCTGCTTCGTGTACTCATTTGCGGTGCGTGTTAAAAAAATCCTCCTCCTCCTCCTCCTCCTCCGCCTCGTCTTGGGTTGCTCGCGCGCGCGCTTGCGTCGATGCACTCGCCCGCGCTTGAAGAAGCGGCCACCCGCGGCGTTTTTGTTCTGTTAGGCGCCCCAGACCGCACGGCGATGCGAACACCCCGCGCGGACCTTGCGCGCCTTGCCTCCATGGATGCGCGCGCAGGTGCGGACGGCCAGACGGCCCAAGTGAGGTCGACAGAGCCTCGAGCCGCAGAGGTTGCGCCCGGGCCAGCTGCACCCACGGCTTTTCTCTGAGGGTCCCTTCCGCTTCTTTCCCCTCCTCCTCCTCCTCCTCCTCCTCCTCCTCCACCTCCTGCTCCTGCTCCTCCTCCTCCTCCT